CGCAGGCAGCCAGCAAAAATAACAGTTTATTCTGCCTGCTGTCCTGAGGGACGGCGGAAGGATCCCAGAGCAGCCCTGCCTGGGTCCTGCTTTATGTCACAGGAGAGGGGCTGCTCTCCCAGCTGGGGATATTTTAGGGTTTTTCTTGCTTTTTTTCACTACTTTCTTAGGCCCTTTTCCCCGCCTGTTGGCAGTGGCCAGGGATCGGATGTGTCCCTTGTTTTGCCTGTCCGTTTCCCCTTTCCTGCATATGGAAAAAGAAATTAAAGGCAGGAAGAAAAGAACAAAATGAGTTTGCAAAGTAGAAATATGGCTTGAAGGAAGATATCTGGAGCAGAAAGCCGGGCCCAGGCACGATGCTCGTTGTTATCCCCCATGGTGGGCACTGCCGTGACCCTTCCTACATCTCATGGTCATAGGAGCATTTCCAGAAGGGAAATCTGTTTTGTTTTGTTTTGTATTTTTTTCATGTGGAAGCTCCTGAAACAGTATGGGAAATGGTCTTTAAGTATTCTAGATGTTGGCTGTCATGGGCCACATGCCAGGGTTCGCTTCGCCGCGTGCTGGAAGAGGATCACCTCGTGCCTCAGTTTCCCCAAAAGCTTAGGGAGGTGCAATACCTTAACGTGCGAGGCAGGAGCAGCAGCTGGCTGTCGGGCTGTGCTGCTCTGGGGATTTTTGATCCTCTTACAGCAGGAGAAACTCAAACATTTCCTCCAAGTGACCCCACCGCCACCCTGTCGCGTGTTCTTTGTTTGCTTTGGCCCCGAGCACGGGGCAGGGTCTCCCTGGGGACACCACGGCTGTCACAGAGCCCCGGGGCAGCAGCCTGCACCCGTCCTGTCTCCCTCGTGGGTGGCACCCGGGTTTATTTACCTTTTCATCACCTGATTACCGTGCCCTGCCATGTTGCAGGCGCCAGCCCGTGGGCTGCCAGCCCGCTTTGAGTTGGCAGGAGCTGGAGATTAACCTCCAGCTAAAATAGCCCGACGCCAGCCCCACGTCTGCCTGGGGTGGCCGGGCTCGTTGTGTGCCCTTGGAGCATCTCGTGCTGATATTTTGCAGCCCAGCTTGGGCCTCAGTCGCCGTGTGATGCGATGGCACAGTGAAGACAGAAGTTGTGATGGGACCAGCTCGGAGCAGGCTGCAAATCCTCAGCAGTCCCAGGAGTTGTTTTTTGTGCCCCAGCAATGCAAAGCCTTGTGGGCTGGTGGAGCTGGGGCTGCCTGCACCTCTCTGTTTGAGAATCCAGAGGAGAACAGGCTCTGCTGCTGGTGGGAACGGTCCCATGACATCTATGCAACCACTCCCCCATTGTGGTACCTCTGCTTTCTTGGCTCTGGTCTCCAAAGCTGAAATTTTATGGTGCAAGTGAGCAGCCCCATTTCGGGATACTCTGAGCAACCATTATCCCTTTCTGCCCTTGGTGGTGTCACTGCATTTGTCCTCTTTGGGGAGCTTGGGCACAGAGCAGGATCTCCGTGCTGAGCTCTGAGCCACTGGCTGAAGAAAGGGGCCATTCAGGTGCTGGCTGGGAGTTTCCATCCCAGCCCGTCTGCACGCACGGTGTTGTCACAAGGAAATTGCAGATTTGGGATCTCACTGGTGCCCTGCCTGCCGTGGGTTTCCCGGCTGGGTGGGACATGGCAGCGCCACAGCTCGGCTTGGAAACCCCTCCAGGGGTGGGGACTCCACCACTGCCCTGGGCAGCCTGGCACAGTCCTGGACAACCCTTTCAGTGAAGAAATTGTTCGTCAGGTCGAACCTCAGCCTCCCCTGGCACCACTTGAGGGCATTTCCTCTGGTCTTATCACTTGTTCCTTGGGAGAAGAGACCAACCCCCACCTGGCTCCAGCCTCCTGCCAGGGAGTTGCTGAGAGCCAGAAGGTCTCCCCTGAGCCTCCTTTTCTTCAGGCTCAGCACCCCCAGCTCCCTCAGCTGCCCCTCATTCCTACTTCCAGTGAGACTTCAGAAGTGAGGGGCTTCAGCCCCAGACATTCATGTTTTTTTGGTGGGTTTTGATTGACCCAAAGCCAAAAAAAATGAGTTTATTGTGCCCTTTTTCTCTGGGTATTCGATGCAAAATGGGCACTGAGCTGCCACATGAAGGGCGGTGGAAGGAGCCTCTGATGGCAGGGGAGGTGCCTGGTTCTCAGTGTACTCCAAGTTGGTTTTTTGGGGAGGTTCCTGCAGCAGCTCTGCTAACATCTGAGGTTTGGTGACAGCCATGGTGTAGGTCGCTGCCGCCGGCGGTGCTTCGGTTGCTGCCCTGCCGCACGTGTTTCCTCCTTCGCTTGTGGAAACCTGTTTTCACACTTTTAATCAAGAGTTCATGCAAAGTCCCTGCTCTGCAAAGGGCAAACGTCACCTGGGAGAAGCACTAAGAGGGCTGTGGTGCCTGCTTGGGTGGCGAGTCACCCCTGGGCACCCCGACAGTGCCGAGGAGCTGCGGGAGCTCCAGGCACCTCCCTCGGGGCACCCGCCTGCCCCCAGCCCTCTCCCCTCACACGTTTGCACCCTTAAAATGGAGCCTGGATGGAAATAGCAGCAGCAGATCTCTTCTACTTTTAATTTGGGTGGCTCTCTGGGCTGGGGAGAGGAAGCCGGGGGTGGAGAGGAGCCGGCTGCAAAAGGCAGAAGAGGCACTTTCCTTCTGACACACTCTGCAGAGTGATTCGAAACACTGAAGCTACTCCAAGATTGGGTTTTTTGGTTGTTTTGGTTTGTTTTCAGTTGTTTTTATTTTTTCCTATAAGAATAATTATAGGCATTACGTACTGGGCTGTTTCTCATGATGACAAGGGATCAGAGGAGCCTTGACTAGGAGGGACATGGGTGTAAAACAGCTCTTGGTAAGAGTGTCTGTGAGCACTGAGGAGCTGGTGCAGTTTGAAGCGTAAACACGTTCAGGCTTCTTGTTTTCACTGGTTTCTTCACCGAAGGTGGGTTTGGTTTTGGTTTTTTTCATGTCTGAATGAAAATAGATGATGGAAAACAGCCGAGCAGGTTTCGCTTCCTGCTCTCGCTCAGGGCTCTGCACTGGGTGTGCTCGGAGACAATCCAACCTCTGGTCCAGCAGTGGGACATCAAGTCTATCTGTCTTGGGCCAGTTCCTCTTGAACTTCAGCTGCTCCCTTATTCTCTCTCAGAAACACAAGGAATCAGAGGAAAATCTTGGTTTATTATCACCCCATGGGGTGCAAAGCATCTTGGTTTCCCCAACTCCAGCAAGCTCTGCAAATCCTGGACTTTCTTTTCTGTGAGGCAGCTGCAGTGTCCCTATTTCCCCACCTTGGGCAGTTGGCAGAGGGTTTCTTCTGGCTGCCACTTTCCCTGGGAACTGCTCTGTGGCCAGCTGAAGGATTAACACTGAATGTGGGAAGAGTGAGACCATGTCTGGAGTGTTGGGTCCAGTTCTGGGCTCCTGAGGTCAAGAGAGATGAGGAACTACTGGAGAGAGTCCAGTGGAGGGTTATGAAGATGATGAGGGGCCTGGAGCATCTCTGTGCCAGGACAGGCTGAGAGCCCTGGGGCTGTTGAGCTGGAGAAGAGAAGCCTCAGAGGGGATCTGATCAATGCTGAGCAAGAGCTAAAGGGCCCCCATGGTGGATACCAGGGTCTGTGCACTGCCCAGTGGCCGTGGGACCCTTCAGTGCAGGCAGGGTGTGAAGGTAACAGTCACCCCATGGGGACCTGGGGTTGTGCAGGCACCTGGGCTTGGGTTTGGCTGGGAGCAGTGTGGCTGGAGGCTCTGCACCCACCAGGGCAGGTTCAGGATTCTTGGACCACCTGAGCTGCCCTCCTGGGGTGAAGGACAGCTGCTGAACAGGAGACATCATCCAAGGGTTCCCCACCCCAGCGGGTCCCTGTTTGGCTTCTGGCAGGGTGTTTTATGGGGCAGTTGGACCTCCATGGCTGGGATATGGAGAGGGCAGCTCCTGAGGAGCAGTTTTTAGGCAGGCTGAGTGCAGAAAGGCTGCTGGAGATGTTTACAGCAGGGAAATGATGTTTCCCTGGTGTGAGGAGCGGCCAGTGCTGCTTACTTGGGGTCAGACAGAGAGCTTCGAGGACAAGCTGTCCTGAGGTGGGAATCCCTGCAGAACAAGCTGCATTTTTTGGGGTACTGAATGAACTGCTGGAGCATAAGGGGTGAGATTGCTAGTCTGAGGCTAAATCATTAATTAATCTTATTCCTTTTATTGTTTTTTACATTATTATGCTCGCTGGGCTGTCGATGAAAACCCTCAGAGCTCCCTGCAGAAGAAGGTAAGTGATGGGCTGGGGGTTAGGGTGTGTACACCCCTTGAGTCTGGGTGGAGGCTGCTGGGGACAAGAATAGGGGAGTCTTTGAGGTCTTTTAATTGCAGTTTTAATCCCAGAGAAAGCTGGGCCGACAGCAGAGCTCCCCTGTGAACAGAAACACAGAGGATTTGGTTTCTGTAGTTAAAACCAGACACAGTTAAAACCAGACACAGTTAAAACCAGGCCAATAGAAGCAATTAAGATGTTTGATATTAGGAGGATCCCCATCACAGTGCTGGATGTCCTCACCAGAGCCCATGGGCACAGGAGCAGCTCTGCTGCAAGCAGGGGACAGGGTCCTGTCAGCCTTAGTGGCCTCAGTGGTCTGGGTACCTGTCCTCTGGGTTTTTTTTGGAGCACTGACTGCTTGGCTTCGTGCTTTTCCACCAGGAAAGTCCCTCTGGGAGTTGGTGCTGGAGCAGTTTGAAGATCTCCTCGTCCGCATCCTTTTGATGGCAGCTTTTCTGTCATTTGTAAGTTAACAGGCAGTTAAATGGAGTGAAAATATTGGGGGAGTGGGGTGTCTGTACACACTTTGTGTTATGGTGGGAGGTCTTAGTGGGGTGGAGAGGAGGATCAGGGTGGTAAAAAGCCATGAGGTCAGCCCCTGCTCTGCAGAGCTGCTCTTAGTACATCAATTACTCAAAACTTCTGCCCAGGAGGGGCTTCTCAGAGGCTGACAAGTTTAATTAATTAATTGGCTGATGACAATTAAATCAGCAGAAGGGTGCAGGCTTAAGCACTAGCAGTGGCATGGCCATGCTTCAGCCAAGCTGCGTGGGGCTGGCCACCACTCTGGGTTGTCTTCTCTCCAGCAAACATCAAAGGTTGGTTGGCTTCTGTTTCTGTCCTTCTTGAAATGTTGGCACTTGTTGTCTCAACAACACTGTGGTCCTTCTCTCCTCTTGCCTACCAGATCCTGGCCTGGTTTGAAGAAGGAGAGGAGACCACAACAGCGTTTGTGGAGCCCATTGTCATTATTATGATCCTGATAGCCAACGCTGTGGTGGGGGTGTGGCAGGTAAGTCACAGCCTCTTCCCTCCTGCCCCCGGGTCTCTGCTCCACGTGGCTGAGATGCTTCACTGGAAGGTCCAGTTGCTTCTTGCTGTTGGAAACGTTTCTCAAAGGTTCAGCTTTAGTGTTGGCCACGCTGCCCCATGCCCCAGTGTAGATGCTCAGTTGTTGGCTGCCTCTTGGCTCATTCCTTCAGTCTTCCTTTGGCAAATTGTGCAGTCTGGACTTGAGGCTCTTGCACTTATTTGCCACCCAGGCAAATGCCACTTGTCTCCTGGCTGTGGCCAAAGGTGTTTTCCAAAGGCTTTTGTCCTGTCCACCAGAAAGCTGTGGTGGCTGCTGCCCCTTGCCTCATTGTATCCCTCATCCCTTGGGATGACCCACTCAGCTAGCGATGCTCCTCCTCTTGTATATATTCACTTGAAGGCCACTTCTCCATCTGCAGCTTGATCTGAGGTGGGGGTTGCTGGATGGGGCAAAACACATCTGAGTGGGCTCTGCTGCTTCCCAACCCAAAAACGAGAGCATCAGCCCCAAAGGTCCATGCAGCATCCAGGACCTGCTGTGATTCCAGCTAGCAGGGACCATTTCAGAGCCGCTGCAGAAGACGCGGCGCTCGCCCCACGAAAACCGGGGCTGGGGTTTGGGTCCTGCTGTCCCTGCAGGGGGCAGGGGAGGCCCCTGCCCG